ATCTCTTCCCTTTACCTCTCACTGCAGTTGCTTGAGCTGAACCCCGAGAAACGTTTTTCTCAGCTGAAGGACATCCAGGCCTTCCCCTATCTGTCCGATGTGAACTGGGATGCTGTTCTCCAGAAAAGGATCATACCAGAATTCATTCCCACGGTAAAGCTGTTCCAACGTGCCCACGTGTCACACGCCACAGCCTGACCTCACCTCTGGCACTGGGACTTGGGATGTTCTGGAGTATCAGGTGTCACGAGGGGAAAAGAGAGACCAGGGCAGAGCTGTCACCTCCCTGTGGGTGGAATAGAGAGTAATGGAACGTGGCTGCAGTGGGGCTGCCCCAGAACTGACCTGCGCTGCTCATACTGTCCCTGGAACTTCTGGGTGCAAAATTGGTGTTACAGGCTCTGGGCTGTGGGTCCACGTGGGATGGAACACGCAGGTAGTGCCTGTGAGCCCTCCCATGCTAAGCTGTGCTCTGAGCAGCTTTGCTCCCCACATCCAAACACAGAGTGCACAGCATGGGCTCAGCAGCAGCTCAGAGATCACCCACCATCTTACGGGAATCCTACCCTCCTGTGGTGCCTTCCCCAACAAGCTCATCGTTCACAGTAAATAGCACATACACGAGATTAGTCTATTAAAACAGCACACAAGTAACATAACTGTTAAAGAGAATAGTCCAAGGCCTGGTGTGTGCAGTGTTACTCCACCTGGTTTTCAGCCACACAGAAGTTGGGCTAAACTATGAATATTTATTAATTGCATGTATTTCCCCCTTATTTCTGGGTTCCTCTGTGGTGTGTGTGATTCTGCACCGCTTTAAGATGCAATCTGCAGGCTGCTGTGCCACTCCCAAAGAGACACAGCCCAGCCAGGACACTGTCCTCAACTTCACTGCCACTCTGAAGCAGCCAAAGGGCATCGCAGAAGCAGGAGCACAAACAGAGCCACTGTCACGCTCTGAATGTGACCCCTGGCTGGAGGGACTGATAAAGCATGGCAGGTGTTCTGGCTGCATGTGCAGTTGCAATTAGTGTATTTTTGTACAAAATTCAGCTCGCAGATGCAGTCCAATTTACAAGAGACTCCTCCAGACAGGCTCTGATCACTTAAGGCTGCCTCCATCTCCCCTCCAGAAAGGCAGACTGAACTGTGACCCAGCGTTTGAACTGGAAGAAATGATCCTGGAATCCAAACCTCTTCACAAAAAAAAGAAGCGCTTGGCTAAGAAGGAGAAAGACCCCAGCAAAAGTAATTCCTCCCAGGTGAGAGCGAGCAGTGGTCAAAGGTGTCTCTCATTTTCCAAGGAAGATGATTGCCATCTAGCAAGACCACAGCAAACTGGTTAAACAGAACATTTTTTCCCTTGTGACCAACTTGATTTCTAAAACTCTGCAGCGTCTTCCCTGTGGTGGAAGGCAGAATGTGCACGCACTGGTTTACTGCAAGGGAAGCCCTAACGTCATTCTCCTGCATAGCTAAAGATGCTCCATGCCTAAAGACATCGCTGTGTCTCCTTAAAGTTGTGCTTGCAATGTATTTCTGTGTCAACTGTGAATTTATCCCCTCTTATTTTTCCATTCCAATGTGAAAGGCTGGCCACCTCCAGAAGCATTTGGAGATGCTCCAGAGGGACTTCATTATTTTCAACAGAGAAAAGTAAGTTCTATTCCAGAGGCAGCAGAGGCAGCTCTGATCCTTGCCAAAGCCTTTAACAAGTTTGGGGGCCCCATGGCTGTGGAGCCCCAGGGCTGGGGTAACTCTGTGCAGCCCCTGTGGGGCAAGTGGCAGCTCATGCCAGGGAGTGGCTCCCAGAGAGCTCCCAGGTGGCTGCACCACTGCAGCATCTTGGCACAGCTTTTCCTCACAGCTCGATTGTCCTTTTCTGTCCCCAAGGGTGAGACATCACCGTGACAGCATCCAGGTGACCGTACCACTGACAAAAAGCGGCGGCACGTACCGGGAAGACAACCAGAACAACCATCTCTGAGAGCAGCACAGCCTCTGTGGGAGAGCTCTCCACGGAGCTGGGGCTCACCCATCCACACACCAACATAATGCTAGGCCATGGCCTCAGCCTCTGCTGCCAGGGCCCTGCCAGCAGCCCAGGGCTCGGAGAGAGCTGGGGAACCCTCTCAGCCTCCACCCCATAGCTGCAGAGCCCTGAGCGTGGGGCGAGAGGCTGAGGGCGCTTGCCACAGTGCTTCCACCCAGATCCTATTGCGTCGTCGCCTTTCCTGGTGGCAGGAATGTGACTGTTACAATGATCAGACAGTGCCACCCTTTCAGCTTCAGTGTCTGGTGCCACAGCCCCTGGTGCCACCACAGAGGTGACTGCTGCAGCGTGACCAGCGGCTGAGCTCACGGTGCTCCGCGGTGTGCCCGCGCCGTGGCCAGGGCTGCCGCTGGGCTCACAGCTCCAGGAGGAAGGGCACAGGGTCTGCACCAGTGCATTGTGACAGAAGTGGATTTTGCTTACCAACGGCTCCTGTGGACACCCCGTGAGGGTGGGCAGGGGAGGCTGAAGGGGCGATGAGCTCTCTCCTCAGCTGGGAGGAGGCAGCAAAGGCTTCCTGCCCACTTCGCCCTCTCTCCATGTACTCAGCAGGGATGGCATGGTGGGTGGTCAGCGTGTGCAGACAGATGTGGACACCAAGAGGTACCAACCAGGCACCGGGTGAATCCAGATGCTTTTCCAGGCCAGCCTGAAAAAACCATTCACCATCACATTAAACTGCTGCAGCTCCCTGAACCTGATGGGGTTTGGCTTCCAACACTGGAGGGAAATTTGAGTGTCTATCTTTAAGCTCTCTACCACTGAAATCACACTTGATTTAAGCAGGGACTGCTTGCAGGAACAGCCACACTTGGCCAAGACTGAGATTGGTAAAAGCACTTCTATTATGAGAATGCTGGGAATGATGCTATTACTTAACTGCTTTGGCAGGCCTGAGGTTTCACCTCCTTATTTGACATTTTCTCCATTCTCAGCAATATAGTGAATGTATGATGAGCCCTTTGCCTCCCATTTACCCAAAGACAAATGTCCTGTCTGCTCGTTCTGCCTCTGCAGTGGCATGTAGTGGGTGTCCTGGCACTGAGCTCAGACATAGCTCGTGCCTAAAAACGAGCTTTAGTTCGGTGTCCTCCATACCCTCCTGCAGCAGAGGGTGGGTGTCCCACTGCTGGCTGTCCCAGCTAGCTGCATCACGTCAGGGTGCTGGGTGAGGGGAAGGTGGTGCTGGGCAGAGGCTGCAGCACTGGCACCGCAGTTGGCTCCAGTAGCATTGCTGTGCTGCAGCCCCACCACCTCCTCTGCACGCTGGGCCTGGGCAGCAGCACTGCTGTGTACGTGGGAACAACCATCAGGAAAGGCAACCCTGTTCCACCCAAGGAGCTGAGAAACTGGAGTGGAAATAGCTCACCAGTAAGTGGGTATTGGATTCCTCAAAGAAGGTCATTGCATGGGAAAGTCACCTCTTCCTGCCCAGTCACAGCACACTCTGATTATTGTCGCTGTGTTTGTTTTCCCCTTTCTCAGCCATCCTGGCTTTCAAGCAATAGGACTTCCAAGCAGGGTGAGGACTCCATGTCTCTCACTCTCCTTTTGACTTACCACTCCCAGGGAGGCTAACCAGAGCACTTCCAGCATTTTCCATTGATCATCTGCTCTCTGCCCAGTCCTACACCGGGTCTGGGGCCAGATGCAGTTGGGAGGGATTTGTCCCTGTCACCTGCACAGCCCTTGTTGCCTAGCTCTGGTACAGGTAAGGGTTCATACACTGGGTGTTTATCTGGAGCCCCAGGCAAGGAAACCAGCCCTGCTCCTCACTGAAGAAAAATCTACTGCTGCAGAAATGCCTCTATACTGGCTGGTCAAAAAAAACCCCAAAACAACCAGAGTACTTAAATGGTAAGAACATTGTGTCGTCCCTAAAGACTTCTACAAACATCTCTCCTTTCCCCTCTTGCTCTGTAAACAGAGGCACAGACTCAGCTTAATCACTACCTGGCAACAGGGAAAAATCTTTAATTACCTGATAGCAGAACTTCACAAAGCTTATAAGCACGAACAGCCTTCCCCAGCCCTGGCAAAACAATGGCCCCTTAAGGACTGCTGCACGGACAGCTTGTCCTGCCCGAGCTGTAGGCATGTAAAAGTAAGTATTTCAAGGTCAAATACTTAAAGAAGGAAAAAAAATTGTGTATATCTTTAGCACAGCCTAAATCAAACCTTAATTTTTGTAATCTTTACAAAACAATCACATCTTCTTTTGCATACTTTGCAAGCTTTAGAGGGCAGTGCCCACTGGATGGGGAGGATTTAACTCACAGGTGCCCACAGAAAACATCTTCAAGCCTGCCCAGCCAGGACAATCCCAACGCCACGACCAGGCAGTGCCACATATGGAGCCAGTCCCTGTCACCACACAGACAGCAGGCACAGCTCTCACTGGGCAGGCACAGCCCACAGTGGCCAGGCCAGGCTCAGCCAGAGACTGGACAGACAAACTGAACAGGCTTTTGCAAACACTTGAACACGCTGTTACGCCAATACCTTTGCTTTTGCCCAAGAAGCTACACCAACCCCGAGGCCTGCAGCAGCGAGCACTGCACAGTGTCGGCCTGACAGCCTG